ATGCTCGCCCCCGGCCCTGCTGAATTGGCCGCTTCGGGGTCTGTGCTGAGCCGCACGCAGCGCCCGCCGCTCCCTGGCGCGGTCGGAGGTGCCGTGGCTGGAGCGCCCCGGAGAGGACGCGTTGCAATGCTTGGCTGTCAGCGGTGGAGTCGCGCATCGTCCCTCGCATCCCGGCCCGCCCGGCAGAGGAGATTTGCTGTGGGAGGCCATCTGGTCTACCAGTGGCATCCCTGCCCACGGCAGGGGCGCTGGAATTAGGTGGTCTTTAAGGTCCCTCCCAATCCAGACCATTATTTGATAATCTGCCAGCCGTACTGCTCTTCCAGAGCACGCGGACTTCTGTGCATCACGAGTTCCGAGTTTTGCATTGTATAAATCCCCTACACTGCTGCGTGTCTTCACTGATCTCGTCAGCGGTCCTCTCGAAAGGCCGAATATACACGCAGTTGTAGTGCTGAGATGAGATCTTAGTTTAGTTTAGGAAAACCTGGAGTAAAACACTAGAGAAAGGCACAGTGGTGTTCCTTACGTAAGATGTGCAGTGATTCAGTGGGTGTTGGCTGGGTTGACATGCAAGTGATAGCGTTGTGTTGGCATGTTATTCTGGTGCTGTACAGTGCTGGCAGTGCACAAATCCACAGAATATTTGACAGAGTCACTCTTTCAGCATGTTTTAGCATAAGAAATAAAGAATAACTGAAATATTTACAGACATTAATGAAATCACTTTCAGCACAGGTAAGTGCTGCAGTTAAGTCTGAATTGTATTTTATATATTTTTTTTATTGTCCTTAGTTGTTTCCATAAATGCAGAATTTGGATGCTGCTCCAGAGTTACAGCTACTCAATGACCTTGAACTTGAACACAGTGATTGCTTAAACAAATGGGCCTGTCTGAACTGAGGGATACAGCTCCCACCAACTTCAGCTACAGAAACTAGCATAGCCTTCTTGCAAATCAGAAGGCAACTTGGATGTGTTGTTTGTTACTTTGATGGCAGTGGGGTTACCTGCTTGCAGATGAATACTCAGACTAGACTAAGATTAATCTCCTGATACAAATTTGCAGTACACTTGGGTGTAGATGGGTGAAGTGACTTGCCAGAGGTCAGTCAAGAAGTCTGAGGCAGAGCTGACTGGTTACATGACCCTTGATGCTCATGACTTTTTTTTTTTCCAAAAGAACCCCTGGTAGTTTGCTGTATTAATTTTTTTCTTCTTTCTTAGAACTGGTTTCCAGTCCATCAGAGCAAATTTTTTAAAAGAGCATTATTCAAACAATATTCTCTAAAAATCAGCTATAGTTCTGTTAAATTATTAGAAGAGCAATATGAAATACAAGATTTGTTTTGCATTTACAGGAAAAGTTCTGTTATATATTATTTGGAAAAAAAGAAATCTGCAGAAACCTACTTTTATTGTCTTTATTTTCTTATGGCTTTTTTTATGCTATGCATGCAGAATTGTAGGTGATGATGATGGAGGAAAGCTCTTTACGCCAGAGGAATATGAGGAGTACAAAAGGAAAGTATTACCAGCTCGGCTACAGAACAGGTTGTATGTGAGCTGGAGATCACCAGCTGGCATGGACTGTAAGCTTGTGGGACCAGAGACACTGTGCTTTTGCACTCACCGGTGGGTACCTTCCCTTCTTTTACCCTTTAGTATTTTTAAAAATCAGGAAAATGTGAAATATTCCCAGAAGCACAGAAGCAAGTTTATTTAAGGGTTGAGAAAATTATGTTTTAAATAGTAAGAACTGTTTGTAAATTCAAATGTCAATATATTTTTGAGACCAAAATGATTTTGTAGTCTCAATAAATACGGCTGCAAGGCATGAGTTAACTTAGATCAGATTGATTCTGGTAGTGCTCTCAAAATGAGACATAAGGATACATGATATTTATGTAATGGATAGATGCAAAGCCACCTGCTATTTCATATTTAATTGCAAATTCACAATTAAGAGTAAATAATACGATTAAAGCCACTTCAAAACAAAACTTGTGAGGTAAATGGTAAGCCTTTCAAGTAGTTCTCTGATAAATGCTAACACTAAAGTAATAAAAGTTATTGCTTTTCCTGTTTTAGGTATAAACAACACAAAACAGACTATGAGGTGCTTCCCAAAGAGCGCCCTATCTGTGTGCCTTGCAGTGCTCTGCCCAGGGTATTGGGTGTGTGCTGCTCTAGTCACCAATGTGTGTTTTCATCCTTGAGGAAGGATGAGAAGTGGGAAGGAAGACATCACCTTTTGCACAGGAGGGTTTAGAACAACATCCTTCGTTTCCCCAGGTCTCGTAAAGAGTTTAAATCTCCGAATGCTTCAGATAGGTGATCAGGTGTTTATGAAGACAGGTGCCTGGAGATAGACAGTAAGAAAGCACCCTGTTTGCAGTTTGTCACTTCCAGCTGCATGCACATGCCTTTTCTACCTGAACTTGGTAGTTTGAGGCAGAGAACTGTTGATCTCCATTCCTCTATTGACTAGTTGACTATAACATTAATATATTTTTATGTCTTTTCTCAACTCAGTAGGAAGGAGCATACTGTTCCCAAATAATTCTATTGCTAGCACTCTAACAAAGTGGCTCATGACCATAGAAATTGTGGGTCCAGAAATTCAAACGGGAATAGAGTTTCAGCAAGATCTTAAAGAATGGATTAAGAGGAATCTTTTTGCTACAGTTGTTTGAGGTTAATGTTATGAAACAACAGCAATTATTAACCACAGGAAATAAATATTGCATGAAGGTGTTTTAGTTTGAAACCTCAGATTATGTAAGATGAAGATTTTCTTTTTGCTGGAGTTCTGTACTGTTATTAAATTTCATTCATGGAATGTCTCTATTTTGTACAGAAAAAAAAAGTAAACAAAAAAACCCAGTAAACAACAACAACAACAAAAAAACCCAGCTGTTATCCCACAGAATAAACCAAAAATATCTATATGACAGCCTTTCAGAATTTGCACTAAATAATGTGAAAATCTTAAGCTGTTTATCTGAATAATTCAGGCTGAATGCATAGAACAGGCTGTTTCCAATATTAATATATATAATGCTTTTTGCTTAGCATTTCTCAAAAAATACCAGACACTTCTGAGGGCTTTACAGATTTCAAAGTGAAGTTACAAGAATTGCTTCTATTTTGGACTTGTTGTTTTAATGTAATGATATTAGTCTTCTCCAGTGTTGATAAATCTAATGTGACACATAAGTTATTACTGAAAAACTTAACTGCTTTTTGCTCTGTATATATTGCATATACTGTATTCTGTGTCCAAACACAGAGTTCTGTTACTGAGGAGTGCCCAAAATAATATGAAAAAGCCTTTAACATTATCAAGAAATGTGATCAACATATTACAAAAGACTTAAAGAAATCTTTCATGGTGCTCTACAAAATGAACTGTGAGCTGGAAGCAGGATAATTTGTATAATGAAACATTTGCAACATAACTTCCTCAATTTCTTGGTCACATCATTGCTCTAGAGGGGTTTTGATGACAGTTTTAGATGTAGGTAGGGCAGACAGGTCACTTAATTCTTTCTGAATGTCATATAACATTTATATAACTATTTCAATTACATCCTGTGGCTGTGTAAGCTTAAAAAAACCCTGAAAGTCAGTCTAATGATACTCCTGTATAGAACCCATTTTGTTGATTCCACAGTCTCTATTTGCTACTGAGAAAATTTTGCTCATTTTAAAAGACATTTAAATTGTAATTTGTGTAATAAATTATGATATTAAGTTTCTTAGCCCTGCAACACTGATATAGCCCAGCTAAACACCTTTGGAGGGAATGATGCCAAAATGATGGCAGGTTGTCAGCTTTACCCAGTATCAGAACATCTTTTCTTTTTATTCATTGTAAGCGGATGGAAGGGCATCTTGTTAAAGGCAATGAACACAAGTTGCAACATAAGAAATACAGTCAGATACCAGAAATTTCTGATCCAGCATTGGTCCAGGCTGCTCAGAGAGGTGGAATCTCCATCCTCAAAGGTACTTGGAACTTGGCTCAGTAAGATCCTCTGACTAATGATCTAATCCCAAGAGTGGTCCTTTCTCTTTTATACAGCTTTTTCATGCACCTGGATGCTTCAATCCCATCACCATCTCACTCATTTATTTGTTTCTCAGGTTCCAAGTGTTCAGGCTTTCATAGCTGCTTTACCTGTGCATGTGGGCAGCCAGCATATGCTCATGAAACTGTCGTGGAAACGAAAGAGGAGCGCTTAGCCCAAGGAAAGCCCGTGGGGCAGGATGTTCCTTACGCTGCCATGGGAGGACTGACTGGTTTTAGTTCGCTAGCAGAAGGCTACATGAGGCTTGATGACAGTGGAATAGGTATGTGCAGCTGACCTGAGATGAAATTTTAATTCTCCACCTAAGTTTTGAAAAGTGGAGTTTCAAATTTGGAAGGCAAATTGGATGAATAGGGCTAGAGCTGCAGAAAGACTGTTCCTTTACAGCTGTCCTCAAGTGTTAAGGGATCACATTGTCCTCCCTGTAGTGAGCTGATTAAAAAACTATTTTTCAACAATTCTGGTGTTCAACCCAGTTGCTTCTGCTTGAAATGCAGCATATCCTTTAGAGAGAACCTGTAAGTTCTAATACTTCCTGTAACCTGGTACTTCCATGTTCTATTTATGTTAGTCCTTTAGCCCAGTACTGCCCAGGTATTTCTTGGTTATATATTTACAGCATTTTTGTCTCCAAACTCAAAGGTTAATAGCTATTCAGAATTAAAAAAAGAGTTAATTGGTAGACCTTTTTAATGGATATGTTAGTTGGTCTTGATAATTTTTCTGCTCCTTGATTTTGTGTCATTGAATAATGCACATGTTTAATCTATATTGTTTTATCTATTATTTTTACTTTTATTTATTATTATTATTTAATTTTTAATTTAAAAAGGTATTTAAATTTTATAATTTTTATTATTATTTTTTATTTTATCTATTATTGCCACATACCCATAATTTATTTTTTAAATTCTGATCTGGATTCCTGGATTTGTCTGAAATTTAGAAACTAAAACATTACTGTGGTGATTGAAGAAACAAAGCTTTTCAATCCTTTTGAAGCCATCCTTGTAATGCTTTTGTTAACTCCAGTTTATGGGGTCTGTGCTGAGAGTTGTAGATATGAATCTGTAACCTTGTTTTGACCCCAGGGTATGTATTAGGACTGTATCTTCTGGAGTTAATTATTGTTTTCATTCAACTTATTTTCTGACAGGTGCTCCTTCTGCTGAACTTTTAGAAGCCCCCATTACTAGCATGGATCATCCATTTCTAAAAGCATTCCAGGGGCCTTCGAGTTCCACTCAAACCATGCCACAAATAGCAGGTGATGTATAAGTAGGATAATATTGTTATACAAAAAGAATTTTATATAAAATTAATTGATTTTATTAATGAATTGAAGGATGCTCAAGGCATTAAAATGAGTATTGAAGCCTTGCTGTGTGGTTAATACAACATTCATGTAATTCACATCTTTGAATAACTAAGTGCTTGCTGATTTTGCTTGCAATGTTTTTTTTACCTTAAATTAGTTTTTTTCTTAGTGTTTCTTAGTGTTTCCCATCAATGGTGTCATGTATTCATTGGATCCATTTTTAAAATTCTTAATTTCTCTTAGAAACTCTTCATTTCTGAATGGGTTGTGCATATTCAGCACAATCCTGTGAAACTGCCTTCTGCCAGAAAGCTTTTTCTAAATGGGATTATGGATCACTTACACTTATTTTATGTCCCTTATTTAGTAGAAAACATTTAGCAATTACTATAAGTGTTGAACTTCTTTAAGACAATTTAGGTGCAAGCCTAGATTAAAAAGGTTTCTCTTTGGTCACAAATGCTGGGTTTTGTACTTGCCTGTAAAGGTGAGGTGCCATTTTAAATGGGTTTTGCCAAATATAAAATATAACTAGTAGAATAGCAGGTATCATTAATAAAAAAGGGGTTTTCTTTTTTGCTTGTGTTTTGTTTTTCAGGTAGTTCAAGAGGCACAGGGCAAGTTTCTCATGGGAAACAATCAGAAGCTGATGACATGGCTTACTTTGAAAAACGCTATCAAGAACGGGCAAGTTACTACGTTTATTGCTTAATTTAAATACACTTTCACAAGAGGATGTTTAAAACCCATACATGTATGATTTAAATGGCATGTAAAGGCATGATGTAATTCCTTATCAATTCCTGAGAAAGCTAGCTTCTTAACATAAATTTTAAAATACAGTTATGAGCTACTATGGGATTTCGGAGGTCAGTCACGTGTGGGATGCCATTCACCTTAATCAGGCAGATTTTAATTGAGGTAACTCTCTATTACAGAAAACAAAAACATTTTACTCTGTGGCAAAAAGAAACAACAATGCAGAGTCACAGAAATTCCCTTGTGACATTTAGGACTGTGTGTTTGCTACTTCGCTTATAAAATTTTATACTATTTTTTTTTTAATGACTCTATGTAAGTTTGGCTAAATTTGGTCTTTATTAGATAATCTGTATCACTCACTTAGACGTGCCTTCTCTACCACACCATCTTTAATTTAAATACCCTGTGTTACAGGTTATTCACATGTTTAAATACTTATTCTTTCCTCACATTAGTCCCTTAGCTCCACCATCTCAGCTGAAGTATGTCTTAACTGTTTATGAATTCTTTTGTAAGGCAATGTTACATATTTTTAAAATCTAAACTGTTTCACTATTTTGCTTGCTGGCTTGAAACAAGATGTTTGTTAAGGAGAAAGCTGTTCTAGCTTTGTGAAATTCAAAATAATTTTCTTTGTTTTGAAAATCATCACAAAATATGGACAGATGTTACAAATATTACATTGGATCACAGAAAATATCAAATTCAAATTTCTCTATTTCTTCTCCCACCCCTCAAGATTTTATTTTCTTTGCAAAAGTTAGTAGGAATTTTAGATAAAAACCTCAAGCCTCCAAAGGGGGAAAAGTGTTTTAAAATGCATTTTTGAGTAGACCAACAACATTTACTTAGCAGTGTGTTCATTTGTAGAGATCCCAATGAGTCTTGTTTCCTTTAAATTCTGTTTTATGACAGGAAAAAGCATGCTAATTTTTTTTTTTTACATTTTTAATAGCAGCATATGTGTTAGATGGGATGCAAAAGTCTCTGCATCCCTTTTATATAATTGTTGTAAATATGATTTCACTCACAAGTGTGACAGTACTTGAGAAAAAACCCTAAAAACTACAGATACATTTGTTTGGATTAATAGTCTTACTACAAAATGACAGAGTGAAATGTGTGTGTGTTGATAAGTTTTAACACGCTGCAAGAGGAAAAAATCTTACAGGAGGAAGTCATGGCCTTGTGGGTCAGCAGGGAGGGGGTTCAGCACCATTCCTGTGTGGTTTTATGTCTGCTGGTTCATCCAACTGGCTCTGTGAGCCATCTGCAATAAAACTGCTCCACCTTTCATTGACATCGAGATAAACACGAGAGCATTCGTGAGGCACACTGGCCTTGAGGGGTACTTAAATACCTAGATTGCCATTATCAGAGAGATAAGGCAGCCTGGTTTCAACAGGGGAGGAGCTGCAGTGCTATGGAAGCGCTCCTTTGTCTTGTTGGGGTGGGATAATAATGTTGTGTACCTTTCTCCACTGCATGCATCACCCTGGTAAATTTGTGACTGGATGTAGAAGTTTAGTATTGTGTTGTTAGCCGATTTGCTAATCAATGTTTGAACCACTGCTGGTGTCTTTTTTTGTTACAGCTGAAAATGGAGAAAGCTGCTAAACGGGGAGAGAGGAATCCAGTACCATCAAAGAAGCCGTGACATTAATGAATAAATATTTATTATTTGGCACATTGCTCATTATTGTGTTGAATATTTTTCTCTGTGCCTACCCACACACCTTTATTTATTCATTCATTCATTTATTGTTTTGTTCTTTTGCTGAAATTAATTTTTAATTATCTCTTTGTAATAAAATTGGTTCTTTAATCAGTGTGTTTCTAATCTCCAGAACTGTTAAAAAGATATTTCTTTGAGAATGAAGAAGTATATTTAGAGAGCTGCAGCTCTGAGGGTTTAAGGTCTGAGAGAATAACCTTGTATTTAAATATTAGGTTGTAGGAGGGCAAAGAAAAGATATGTCTCATTTTTAGACTTTTATGTTACATTTTCTTTATTTGTGGAGTCCTTTAGACTCATCTTGGTTATGGATTTTATGTGGTGAGGTTTGTTCTGTTAATATTGACATTTTAATATTTTCTTTAAATCTTTTTTCTCTTTTTGTTGATTTCATCACCTTGACATAAAATTCAATTATACCCTTCTTCTCTCACACTTCTGTAGGCTCTGTTCTTGCCATCATATATTTTTTTTTTAAAATATGACATTTTTTACACTTGCAAACCCCTTTCCACGCTTATGAGCTATTTGAAGGGATCTTGGTTGTGTACTTTATCCCAGATTTCTCTGGTGGTGCTATTCTCCCAGTTCTGTTTGTCTGTTACTGTCCATAACAATTATTACACTAAACTCCTGAAAACCTTAAGTGGAAATGGATATGTTATTTATAGCTTATAAAGCAATAATTGCACGCTGTTTGGTACAAATAATTTATCCAAGAGATTCCTCATGTCTGATCCAACACAGACTGAATCACCTCAGGGAGGTGCTTTTGTATTCTTTGCCCATATTCAGAGCTGTGGCAACATATGTTGTATTTAAAGGTAGTGGACAGGAAAATATAAAATTGAGTGCATGTGTGGTGGTTTAATTCTGCCAAGCAGCACAGCAAGAACTTGGTGCAGAATAACTGGCAGAGAGTGCAGCTTAGGAGGCAAAAGCAGAGCCTGAGTTAACTGATTCTGCTTTGAGAACCGAGAGGTGAAAGTCAGTTTGTTCTTACAAATACCTGAAGGTGTCTCTTGGGCTGGAGGCTTTACAGGAGGTGTGTGTACAGAGACTTTACAGCAAGAAATGAGAGAAGCCTACAAAGCTTTGTTTCCCATTGGAAAAATGCCTCCACGTGCCTGATGGAAAAAGTAGAAGAGGTGAGTCTGAGGGCATATACTGCAGGGCATCTTGGATTTTGTTCAGATATCACCTGTGGTGTGAAGGCTCAGTTTTAAGAGAGCTTTTTACCTTTAACTCTGACTTATGTTGCCGTTTCTACAGGTGCCAATCAGAGAGGATAATCCATTACTTAAATTTAATTCCATGATACATCAAGGTGTCTAATTAATGTTTTAAAAGTACCTTTACTGTTCAGTTCTATAGTTACATGCTGCTTTAGCCTAACAAGTGAAAGTCCTAATTTGAGCTCCCTCTTCTGGCCCCGGCAAGCAATCCGTTCTACACATCCTCTGCTTGGTCTTGAAAATAAATGGGGTTTTCACAATGTAATATCAAGAAACAAATACAAATAACATTAATAAAGAATAGCAAAAAAATACAGAAAAAAATATTTCTATTTTTCAAAGAGATTGTTACAAGCTTAGTTGTGGAAGTTTACTCTGGTTTCCTGCTTATCCCTGTTACTATGCCCATGGAGGGATGAAGTTCTGGAAATCTGTGTGTGTGTTGCAGAAGTGAGCTTTCTCACAGCAAAATGTTGTTGAAGAGAGAGGTTCTAACAGTTACAAAAACTTTTATTTTGTGTTCCTTTTGATACTGAGAACATACGTTTTAGGATATAATGTATTGTTTCACATTTTGAGTTGACATTATTTGTCTACTTTAAATGCTAGCTCTGCCAAATTCAGTCCTACTAAACTATACTTTGATCATCACAAACTGGTTTTATTAAAGTAATTAAAAAAATATTCTGTACTTTAACTTATTTGCTGTTTCCACTCCAAGGATATAAAAAAGTTACTACATTTATTTACTGATACTTCTCTTTTAGTTGGAAAACAGGTTGGATGATAAAAATATCAATGGCATTAAATACTGCTTAGGAGTTCTGACTGCTTTCACTCATGTTGATGATGTCCAAGGAAAAGAAACTTGCCTTCCTTACTAGAAGGCATATTTTTGACTTCTTAGTATTTGCGTACTACCTTTTTTTCTGAAATGTTATCGGTATCTATACATAAAAAAGCCATATACAATACATCTCGTAACACTGTTGGCTGTGAAAACTGGACAATGATACAATATCTTAAATGGAATTTGAATTTATCCTAAAAACCTAATGATCAGTTTGCAGGATCAATATTGCAACCTCCAATTCTACTGAAAAATTTCTTTATATATCTGCTGGAAAAGAGAATTTTTTTTAAAAAAATTATAAAAGCAGAGAGTCAATGCTAGTATGTGTGCCAGTAGCAGGATCTGTTAAATAAAGATCCCGGTTTAACAGGTACTTGCTGCTGGTTTGTTTTCCTGAGAGCAGCCATGAACTTTGAACAAAATATCGTGGGACAGATAAGTTACCAATTCATCTGTGTGATTTATTGGGTGGGTGTGTATCTGTCATTCAGCTGGAAGCATGAACTATTTCTGACCCTAATCCAAGGAACCAGGGAAAAGGCTTTGTTCTCATGCACACGAGCATTCTGAGTTGTTCAAGCCTAATTGTATAGGCCCTGGGCAGTGCTTAAGCATGACTTATTTTTAAAAGAGCTGGCTTTCAAATCAGTATTTTGCCAACATTATAACGTTCCTAGAGTGTACAACAGCATTTTCTTTGCTAGTTTTGATCATCCTGTGGAGAGGCTGAGATGTTCCTTGGCTGTTACGATCGTGGGCTCTGGTCAGTGATCCCAAGTGGAGCGCAAGGAGTTCCTCCCTGTTCTGTGTGTTTCTGACACTAAATATAAACCACGTCTGTCCGTCTCAGGTTGGGAGCGAGGGGAATGCCATGTGTGAATTCACAGCCAGTAATGGCATCCGTGCAGCTCCTTTGTCAGGTTGTCAGTGTCTTTGCAGCACGCTGTGCATATTAAACGGCTGGCACGTCTCGTGGCTGTTCATCCCCCAGCCTCTCTCGTAGTTCATAGCATGTGGCCTAAGAAAAGAGACAACTTTGCAAGTAGTGATAGTATTTGTTCTTAGCACAAATATAATTGAAAAAAACAACAGAGGTTTTCCAGTCTAAAAGACCTCACACACGTGTACCTGTTATGGACGTTTTTTTGTAACTAAATATACCATTTTTGTCTATAAGTCTACACCTGCTTTGGAACCTTTAGCATCTCTCTTCTGGCAGAAGGAATCATTACTTGCTTTACAGTGTTTTTAGCTCTGATTTCACATTCACTGTACCTGTCTGACATGGCAGGGCACTGACCCCATGGGCTCCTTTAGTTACCTCCCTAGGGAAGGTCCCAGACTCAGCCATTAACTTGTCACATGTGTGATGCTGTGTCACAGACAGAATGGGAGCCTCACACAAAGTTTATTAGTTGAGTCATTTGCTGCAGAGAAAACCCCCTTGCTTTCTCCAGTCTTAGCCCCAGACTTAAGCAACAGTTTATGTCTAAAGGATTATCCAAGTGTAATTGAACCTTTGTACAACTTTGTCCTGCAGAATTAAGGATGGCAAACCAGATATATTTATATAAAATATTTAATTTATTATGATTATGATTAGACTAAAATATTTTAATCAGACTAAAACATTTTAATCAGAATTATTTACTCCACAGGTAGAGCTACAACTATTGGTACAGGCTAGTTCTCTGCTTTTAAGCAATATTGAAGCGATTATGGGAAAGCTAGCAAAACAAATTCAGAACCAAAATCAAGTAGGGATTGATATTACTGACTCCTACCAAAGATTGTAGGAAAACCTCTTTTGCTCAGCCTTGAGGAATAACCTTGGGGGCACCCTCAAGCCAAGGGAGGATCTCCACAGACACCCCAAGCAGGGGGATGTCAGAAGACCCTGCCATTAAAGATTGGGACTGCTCACTCAGACGTCTGCAGGCCAGCTGTGTCAGTTCAGCAGCTTTAGACAAGTTATCAGCAGTATCACTTTTTCCTTCTTTTATCAGGCACTTTACCAGGCCAGCTACATCCTCACCTCACTCTCAGGATGTTTAATTTTGGAGCTGATGAGTCAGTCTGCTTTCAGCATTATTCAACACCAAAAGCAGCACAGATAGCTTTGCAAATCGGGCGTTGTTCAAGTTGGTTTACCCCATTCTAGGCAGAGTATCCTGTTACACACCAGCTGAGCACTTTCAAAACTATTTGATTCTAACTGAGGTGTTTAGTCTTATCCTCTCTCTCCTAGCAAGTTTCTGTAGAAGTATGGGCAAAATATAGCGTTTCATTTTGGAAAAAGAAAAATAATCTAATTCAGATTGCTGAATTTCAGGTACTGTTGTTCGCCTTCAGACTGCTATCAGTTATTCTTTTCTGTAATATCAAAAAGAATTGTTCATCAAATGAATACATGATGAGTGAGAATCTGTTGCACAAATAAGTTTGTACCTGTGCTTTCAGGAATATTTGGTAGGCCAAAAAATAAATAAATTGAGGGCTAAAATATTTGGTGTTGAAGAATAATATAGGAGGCAGTTGGAGTCCCACTGGGAGTGTATCTCCTGCCCTAAAAACATCAATTTTTACATAGATGGGCAGGAGGATATTGGAAGGGGGGAGTGAGAAAAACTAAAAATACCAAACAATGAATAGTTTCCTTTAATGAGAGGGTTGCAGCAGGGAGAGGGGGAAACCCAGAAGGAGTACCACAGGTTGCCTTTCCTCTTTGATCTGCTGGTTAATTGGTGCGTGCATATTGGTCAGAATCTGTGCAGCTTTAAGCCAGCTGGAGGAGGCAATGCTGCTTGTTGTGTCACCAGAAGGAATTTGGGGAGGTGGACCAAACTTTGCTCATTCTGTTTATGGAATAACTTCTTCTAATAAAGGGGTTTTTAGATTTAATAATCATAGGTAATTCTCCTTTGGGTTCTTATTCTGGCATTGAGGCTCAGTCAGAGTGTTTTATTTGATATCTTAAGGTACAGAGTGTAGGAGTGTGGTTC